TGTGTGTGTGTGTGTGTGTGTGTGTGTGTGTGTGTGTGTGTGTGTGTGTCCAAGAACACGGTGGCAGAGCTCAGATCAGTGTGGCCTTTGTTCTCTTTCCTGTGATTACTATAGGAAGTATTTTACGATATGATTGAATCTCTAAGATGTTTCAGATATAATACACAAAGATTTAAGAGAAACAAACTAAAAATGAATAAATATCTGCCAATTATGAGCAGCAGTGAATGGGCCCAGTCCATCTGTCTGCCCTACACAAAATCTCCGAAACTATGGAAAGAATTAAACCAAACTCTCGCACAATATGTCTGTGATGAAAGGATTCAACTGTTTCGATTAAGACCTGTATCTACACACTGTTATTTATTAAAACCAACAGTGAGTGCTTATAACCATTGTCATTACTTTATTTTACTTTTAGAAGCTTTTCCGGACCTCGATGCTCTTGCACTTCATCAACGTGCTGCTGCAGGTCCTTCTTCACAAAAGTCACGACCTTCTTCAGGAGGAAATCACCCTCGCTATTTACAACATGGCCTCTGTCGACTTTGATGCCTTCTACTCGGCCTTCATGCCAGAGTTCCTCAATGGCTGCCAGGGTGTGGACTCCGGCCAACGAGGTGTTCTGGCACGCAACTTCAAGCTTGAACGGGTACGAACTGTTATTCATATTCATATTGTATATTTTTTTCATCAACATTGTGTTCATTTAGTAAATCATGGTCCATTTAGAGTAAAATAGACAATAAAGCAGGTTCTGTGTTAGGGCGGGGCTACCTTGTGATTGACAGGTCGCGACTACATTGATGGCCGGTCTGGGGCCTTTCACAGTTATGTTGGTTCATCAAAGTAAATTATGGTCGTTGTGTTCGCCATAAAAATGTGTTATTCAGCATTCGGTTGTACTTGGATCCACCCTCTCGTGTCACTTCTGGTTGCAAAAAACCAAGATGGCGACGGCCAAAATGCTGAGCTCGAGGCTTCAAAACTGTAGTGCACAAACCAATGGGTGACGTCTCAACCTTAGCACCGGTACATTTCCATTTGCCTGTTGTGTTGAATGTTGATTTCTTCTTCTTTGCACTCCAAACATCCTCAACTTGTGTAAATTGATATTCCTGTTCAACTTCTCTCTCCTTTCTCAAGGACTTGCCTTCGTTCACTCAAAGCGTGCAGCGACTGGTGAATGACCTTCGCTACTACAGACTGTGTAATAGTAGCCTGCCGACTGGCACCATCAAGCTATAGCACAATGACTGCTCGAACCACTCCGTACATCAACTCTGATCTTCAAGGACTGCCTGTGCTGACCACTTTGCCCAACACTCTTTCTCCAATCCAGCGTTGCTCCAGCTATTCAAAGTAATGGGAAGGGACAACACGCATTGTATTGTTTAGAAATTGGAGTTTGAGGATGCTGCTGATGTATTTCTTTGATTTCTACTGTTGAAGGTTGGCGCATAAATTTTTTTTATTTTTAACAGCGCCCTCCTAATGTGTTGCCAATGATATTTTGGCAAGAAATGAAACCTGGTCTGCCGTTTTGCCCAGACCCGGAGCAGTCTGAGCCAGGCCTTCTCTCCCACGAGTCGGCGACAAAGCTGGGCTGGGACTGAGCACTTTCAACTCATTTTGAGTTTTTAAAATGTCTGCTTTTATTCATTTTGCCTTCAATTTTTTCATCTCCAAAGGAGACGGATTCTCAACTTAAGATCTTTCATATCATTCCATTCTGATGAAGAGACAACTTGCTTGATTAATAAAGTGCTTTTTTAGTAAAATTCAGGTATTGATTACTTCATGTTTATATTGATCTATGTGCCCAACTTTTGCAGTGTTGTCACAGTATTGCTTGAAGAATGATGGCCTTATAAATAGATTTCAGACTTTTCTGTATGTTTACACTGTTTCGCTTTACACTTGTCAATGACTTTTTAAAATCCCTTTTAACTTAATTACATCTACTTTTTTTTCTGGATTTTTTTTTTTTTTTTAGAACACATGCACCTATCATCAAACTGTTGGTTTGAGTTTTCACAGAACTAATGGATAATGCAGATTTCAATTTCAGATAGAGCCTTTGACAGATATGAAGCATCAACTGCAGGTTTAATGTGTGAGACATGTGACGCATCACATGTGACAAATGCTGTCTGAGGACGTAGTATGCTGAAGATAAGAAGCATCAGCACAGAAAGAACAATTGAACATCTTCACAGTAGGTATAACAAATCCACAAACACAATATTAAAAGTTGCATCAGCTTTTTTGTAGTTTGACCTCAGTGAGGATTGGAGCTTTAATGTTGGTGTGTGTTGCTGTCTATCTATGGATTTAGATGTCGAGATGTTTTACCATCTCCACAGCTGCTGAGAGCAAATGCTGGTTCAGTTATGATGTTAACTGAACATGCATGTAACGCTACGATATTAAAGAAACAGGCTGCAGGTTAATGTGACGGCACAACCTACAAGTGAATGGAACTAATGGATTTGATAGCTGAACTCGCCCAATGGGATTAGAGCTTATTTTTGGCTCAAAATCTCATGTTGATGCTGATTATATTTCTTTAATGTAGGAAAAAAATGAAATTTTATTGGCAAGGAGAAAGAAGTCTTGAAATCCCTACGACTTTCATGTAGTTTAGTTTTATTTTACCAATTTTACACCACAAGATAACTGTAGCCTATGCATTAGGGCTTTAAAGCCTTTTTTTATTGTATGTCTTCTGTAGCTGTCAAGTCTGAGACTATAACCCTAAAAACACACTTTTGAGTTGCATTGTGGGAATTGTAGGATCCATTCGTTTTGGAGTTGAAAATAGCAGGTCCTATATGCCTCTGGTACATCACATTTATACCTTTTTTTTGTTTCTTGCAAGTACACCAACTTAATGAAAATGTGGTTTTGATATTAAGCTTGAAAGTTTGGATATGTAGAATTTTTACAATGTTCTCAAAGCTCTAGTTGAAAAAACTAAACTGCATTCCAATGATAAATACATTCGAACACGTAAAAAATGTCTGAATTCTTGGTCAGTGCTGGAATATTTTTTTTATTCATGTATTTTTTGTAACTGAAAAAAAAAAAAACCTCGCCGGAGTTAAACAATCAGGGGGAGGTTGGCAGACAGGGGGATGACTCGTGAGTTTTGATTGAGACGGCCTGACTCCTATCTCGAGAGGCGAACTAAACACACGTGGAACCATGGTCCTGTTGCAGCGGTGCGTTTTTAAGAGAATTCTCCAACAGTTTTATTCAGGGAATCAAGGAAACACCAAAAGTCTGGTGTCAGCTGGGTTTCCCACTGCGCTGCTAGGTGGAGACGGAGCTGCTGGGCACAGGAGCAACTCAAGTAAGTGAATTTATATCAACTGGTCAGTAAGGACGTCGATTTTACTTTTGTACATTTCTTCTATTCTCTTACACACTCGCATTGTGCCACTTTTTTTCCTCAAAGGACTAAATGACACTTTGACATTTGACTTGATGTTTACCTCAAAAATGTACCGATTAACCTAAAAACACGGTTTTGAACATGTAATGACATACATACGTGTTTCTTCAGATTTAAACATGCTTTTTAACATTGAGTCGAAACAAACTACACCGAGTTTATTTGCGCCAAACGAATGAACGAAAACAAATGTGCTTGCCAAACTCATGGGGTCATGACCTGGAGCTAGGTTAGAGGGACCAGATATGCTGGTGAAACAGTGACCTGCGGTGTGCGTAATCTGGAACCTTCGTTTACTCTGTAAACTACTCAAAGCACAGTATAGGCACGTCCGTATGTAATTGATTGCATACAGTCATTCATTAGCTCCTGTTGCAGCTGCTGTTCTGTGCGCAACAATTTATCTAAATACCATATCTGATGTGCCTATTTCATTCTGCTATCGGAGGGTAGTTAATCTCTGTGTGTGTGTGTGTGTGTGTGTGTGTGTGTGTGTGTGTGTGTGTGTGT